TTCGCAATATTTTTGTCATCTGCGACGTATAAAATCAAATTGCATTCAAACGTATCTTTCAATAAAAAACGAATAAAAAGTGAAACCTTGATTCTAACAAATATGTACACTTAGCTTTATTTGTAAAATAAGGATATTTAATTAAAACACTTTTTCAATAACGTAGGTACAGACGTTACTTTTATTTTTATTTTTTATTTAACTAAACACAATAAACGCGCGTTATTGCTTCCGCGTGTATCTCACACGTATAAATTAGAATTGTCAAAAATACACAGAACAGCTATGCGCCGGACAGAGACTGCAAATTAATTAAAGAACCAATTAACATCGCGATAAAAGTGGCAACAATTAACATGTTCCGGAAAATTTCAATACATGCGTATGTGTGTGTATATATATATATATTTGAGTATCGACTTTACATACTTTTTTAAAGACAGAAATACAATGTGTACTGTAAATGTGCTTTTTTTATATTACTCTTTTTCGCTTTAAACACCTGTTATTTCAGTCTCACGTAAAGCGACAAATTTATGCAAGAGGTGCAATGTATGTTAAATCTTTATCGTGAGAACGACAAAAATATTGCCGTACGATTTTCCCCGAGAAAATACTGGAGAGACCTTAAAAACACGAACAAATACATTTGAACGTAGATTATTCCCGTCAAGAGATCTGCAAATTAATGAGACAGAAACATTGTAAAAAAAAAAAATTTTTGCGTCACCATATTTGCATTCGAAATTTGAGAGAACGAAAACAAACTGTTGCTAAGACCTCCGGTATAAAATTTACTTTACTCTCTCTCTATTTCTCGTTATTTGCATACAATTTAAATGCATTTAATATAGTTTTTCATAGATGTGTCATGTACGTGCTTGAGCACAATTTAGCAAAAAATAGCAAAAAATTATATTAAACATGTTTTAGATCCACCACGTCTAATTTTATAATACGACATAATTCAAAACTAACAAAGTGATAATAAAATAAAATCATAGTCGCGCGCTATTGAAATTATTGATGAAAACAAGAAAGTTGCTGATTCGCGCATCTCACAATTCACGTGTGCATCGCGAGGATGTACCACGCGTTTACATTATATTCCTCGTTAAATTCGCTGTCTGCGGTGCGAAAAATGGACGGAGAAAGCGCGTGGCGCTTTCGAAGTTCGATAATTGCTGAATCGACGCAATCGCGAAAACTTGGAAGGTCGAAGGGTTCTCGTAATCAACACGGTCGATGTTCACGACGCGTTTCGAGCGAGCGACGACGACGACGCTTCGCAATCCGCTTCGCGGACAACGCGCTAATTGCGCCGGATTCGAGTTTCTTGAGGCGGTATTAACAGCAGGAGTCGCAACAATAAACTTAACGGCACGTTAATTGAATTCCCAAGCAAATTGCAATCTTTTGTCTCGCGGATGAGTTACAGAGATCTCATTAGCGAGAACAACGTTATTGGCGCTAATTAGAGATTGCGTGAAAAATAAATACAACGGAAGAATTTGTTTTTCAACTTTGAAAATATACGCGGTTATTCAAACGGTACTTGTTCTTATTTGATGTGTATCTAACAATATTTCATATTTAGTAAAAGCACTTGCAATAAAGTAGATTAAGTTTAACACGCGTCGGCGCAATTTTTCATAACACAGTAAATTACATTCGTCTTTCTGTAGACGAGAATTACAAGCCTTTGCATACGAGATAGAAAGTTTATTTTAGCAGGGAATTCGTACTGAAAATACCATTAATATTCGTCAGCTATAAGCTCGTGTAGCATATATACGTATATAAATATATATGTACATATAAATATACGCGGATATCTACACAGAGACAGAGATGTAGAGTCCTATAGCCGGTTTCATGCTTTATGCAAGCGATGAACGACGAAGATATTGAAAGTTATATGAATGCGAAAAAATAAGCGCGAACCCTCTGCTATTTGTATCGGGAACAATTCTTTACGATTCAAGTCGCGCGTCTCGCGTTCGTGTCAAATTGTAATGATTCGCGACAAAAGGGACAACGCGACGGGGAGAGAGAGATGCGAAACACGCCCAATTAACGCACGCACACTCCGATGAATCGTCATCCAGTTCCCATTTCGCGTATATTGCAAATGGAACGCGATGACCGCGGTGTAACAACGCGGTTACACGACGTGACGTGAATCACACTCTTGCGCGGAAAATGATATCTCTCAGTTGAATGACTTATTTCATACGTGTAACATATGAAAACGGGAATACGTATACTATGAAGAGCGAGTGATCCGAAACGAAAAGGTAAACAACAACTTATCAGGTTGAAAGTTATTTATTTTTCAATACAGTCGTCTTCTACTGTCGATAGACACTTTTGACCAGCGTTTCTCTCGAGAGCGCTTACACCACTTTGATAAAACGATCTCAAGAACTCGTCAAAATTGCCGCTTACGACATCGATGACTTCGGTGTTGCTCGAAAATTTCTTTCCGCTATTTTCTCAGGTTCGGAAATAAAACAGAAAATCGCATCTGACGAACAAGACGGATGAGGCAACAATCCTAACAAATTTTAGTAGTCGAAATGTGAGCTAATGCAATGTCAAAAATCAACATTGAGAGAGCGTCTCTACTTTGACATTTGTTCTTCCGAAGAATAAAACTTGTCAAAAACAACAGAGCAATGTGATGTTACTGTCGCTATCTATGGATCGTTTCGAGTACTTATCAATCGCTCCTCGTATTTTTACAAAGAAAAGAAAGAAAAAAGTTTATTATACACACGTGTACTCGCACAGAGTTTATTAATCACAATAACACGGTCTACTTATTATTATGTGTAACAGCATGATATAATTGCTCTTTACTCAGATAAGTAGTTTATAATAGCACAAGAATCTCGATACAAAACAGCGTTTGATTGATCGGGATACAGAGATATCGGTATCGCATTGCCCTTGACTTTATCGAATTATTAGCCACGATTGCGTGTCTGTGCGCGACTTGTTTCATTAGCGGATTAGGTTGATTCGTTTAGCCGCCGACGACGACAATTTCAATCAATTAAGTTAATGCACCTGCAGAGTCGTGTGCCACGCGAGGCGCGCGGCCACATGTCTCTTTACTTGTCAGACCGGAGGTTTTGCTGGTAACAACAAATGGCCAAAATAACGGGTCATATAATTTTGTAAAGATTAGAAAAACAAAGTAAGATCATAGTGCTATAAGTAATCAGCTAATTTGAAGTTACGGGCACTATGGCAAAACAAACTTAATTTCAGAATTGTGGCACGATAGCACATGCGTATGTATGTACATACGCGGATATCTACGCGTCGAAGTGGTTTTTCCTCATCAGCTTTCAGCGGCGCCAATCGCCAAATGTCCGAGATAGATATAAAGTTTTCTATAGGATCATCTCTATAGAAACACACTTTTTTATGTTCCCTTTTTGCGCACACTGTGTTCACGTGGTCATTGAATCAAATTATGGAAGAGATTTTTTTGTACGGGAGGATTTACGTACGTAGATTTTTCGAGGGTGAAATATCCGAAAGCAATGACCAATGACTGAAATTTATTCATCTTCTTCTCTCGTTCCCGTGCGAGAGAGACATCGAAAAAGAAAGAGAAAGAGAGAGAGAGAGAGAGAGAGAGAGAGAACGAGCGAAACAATTTAATTTGTCGCGTAAACTCGGCACGTGTTTCATCATCGCGTTTATGCACGAATAAGCTGTATTACATTATGTTACAAAAGTTGTTCGTTGAAACCTCCAGTTGTTCATCGAAGTTATATCAAACTTTCTTCTGCTTTTAGATATTTAGAGCAGTGGTTTGGTTTCTTCATTTTTAGTTTTTCCTTATTGCAATTAACCACAAAATCAAACTGTGTAATTAAGTTTCCTGTGCTCTCGCTACGTTTTCTTCTTAATCTTTTTCCGCTAATTCTTTATATAAGTCACTTTCTCAGTTAAGCTTTCCTTATTGACGCTGTTGTCGACGCGGCAGCAAAAGTTAATAGTTGAGACACGCACAAAAATATTGTTCCTTGTAAAAATCCTTGTGTACAGAATGAACGATGAAAGTCTACTACGATAATTCATTACAAATTAATCCTTCACAATCGATATCAGGGGGTATTCGCGAAATAATTGAAAGACCGAGCACAAATGTGTTGTCTATATCGTGCTTATAACGTGAATCTTCGTTCGTTGGTCAAAAGCTTAATAATTAATTGGCGCTTGCTACGAAGTTTCCGCAATACGACGTGATGCGTACTTTACACAGCATTTGCTGCAACCTTAGGCATTACGATATGAAAGCCCTCTCCAAACACAGAAGTAAGATGTATCAAGACAGTAAGTACTTCGGATTACGTAACAGTAATGGACTTTATCGCCGCAAGTGATGTATGTACATGTGTGTAGCTGGATTATCAATGCTACACTCTCTACACGCACTACGTTAATTAACTCCGCATTTCTCTTTTTTCTTTTTCTCTCTTTCTCTGTCTTTCCACGTCGCAACATATGCGCTATCACGATTTAGCATCGCTTCATTTTTGAAGATATGTTTATTAAGAGATATAATGAAAAGTTTGCAGGATAGATGTATATAGAAAGTTATTGTTGTTAAATCAAATATTTCGCGTGTTCACGAAATTGTCACTCCAGAAATTTCTCACCAGAACAATTTTTTGCACTCGGAATCATTTACTTTTTATCGTAATATTAATAACGAAAAATGACAACACACATCTCTTCAATCTCTTTTTCGTACGCGCGTCACTCGATCTTCATTCCTTCTTCTGTCACGAATTTTCAATAGTCCAGACGTTTTTTTCTGCGGTATAATCACCAAAAATATAAAACGATGCTCGAAATTCCTTGAATTTTCAGGCATTCAGAAATTTCTTCTCGTTATTTTCTCTCACGTGTAACAAAATGTACAAGTGCGCGGAATAATTAATACGCGATAAATCTTTTTTTTTTTTTTTGTTCTTCAGAGTGTCTCGGCGACGACGCTGGTGTTAAGGAACTTCGGGAATTACAGGACAAGTACGAGGGGAAGCTGACTGCGTCTCTCTACACGGGAACGTTCTGCGTTGCCGCTGTCGCTTCGCTTATCGCTCTCGGTGCTTTGTGCATTACCGACTATTATGTAAGTATCATTAATTATTCTCCGCGCTGTAAATCCAAGATGTTACACATCAAGGTTTTAATTAAATAATATTTAATTTAACATTTTCGGGAAAACTCTCGACGTAATAAATTTATGTCGTATTAACGTCAATTATTATTTGTGTTTGTGTTGAAAATTTTGGAATTTACGAAATTAGACGTTCACGTCGAAAATCTTTGCGCTTCTAATTATTTCGATCTGTCGATCGATAATCAATTAAATACGCATCTGCACACAGTATACGCGTCTACGCGTCTGAATATCTCTTAGTTAATTACTATCGCGAAAATTCAATGCTTATTAGCATGATAGTTAAACTTCGTGCGAAACTTGGTACATCATTACATCTTCGTGACTAAGGGTTACGTTACAAGATGACGATCGACGTCGTAATTAATTTTCAATTAAAACTCCATCCGATGCTTCTTTGTAACGGATCGATATATCGGCCCGAGATGCCTCCTGGCGTCACGTATATGATATTCTTCGCAAACCAGTTAACAAGCCGTATCCTGAAACTTAACCGCAGGCTATTCCGTTAGCAAAACCAAGAATTAATATTGATATCGCGGATACGATTAGCCAAGCGGATGCAAATTAGCTTGTTCAAACCCATAGTATTAACGAGGAAACACTATAATAAAACACCATCGCGCACCAGAATCAGATCAGACCGAGAATAGACAGTGTTGATCCTTTTGGTCAACGATTTCTGCGAGGCGTGTGAGAAAATTGATAACGTGATTTATCTCGAATCAGAAGAAGTTTTTCCCTCACGTTTTAGCGACATTATAAAATAATATAAAAACTTGATCAATCATCGACAGGATAATTTTATTTCGGAGAACCTTCAAAAAAAAAAATAAAATAAAGAAAATTGTCCAACACGAAACTTGTAAACTTTGAAAAAGTAGATCCTTTGAAGGTCTTCACGAGAAAAGTTTGGCGAATTACGAACATCGCAAGTTTAACGTAAATTGTTTAACTTACTCGATTTTTCTCTTTCACAAATTTAATTTGATACGTGTGTGTTTATATTTAAAATTATATATCACATTTCAATGGATGATCTGGAAAATTCTGTCTGCAAAATTAATACAATTCGCAATTCTCTTTAGCTCGGAATTATAATCCGAGCTTGCAAAAAAACTGTAGAACGTGAAATTCGCTTGAATTGTGTCAAGTAAATATTAACTGTTGAAAAAAAAGTCATATACAGGAATAATGAATTCTTTCTGTGCAATATTTGTTTAATTGATTTTTCAGCTGTTCAACGTAATCGATCTCGTATCTGTGTCGGTATTGACGACCATGTTCGTCACCTCTTTGACACTTTTGGTGATCATCCAATTGCCCACGACCATGACATCCAAACGATCGAGGATTTTCATAGGTCTAACATCCTCCGTTACTCTCGGTCTAGGAATTCTAATATTAAGAGGCGTTCTACCCTTGTTCGCATGCATCCTATCAATAATCGCCGTTTTGCCTAAGATGAGGTGGCAAATTCCGCTCATCATCGGTTTCATCCTGACGCTCGCGCACGTATCAAGAAGACTCATCTCCGAAGATTTGTCGAATTATTACGTCGTGATTCAGGTATAGATATAAAAAATTCACATATAATATACATAGTTTTTGATCGATGTATTTATTTCTGTAATACGAAGTAAAATTATTTCTGTACTTTTTTTTTACAAACTAAAACTTTTTATTGACAAAATGAAAGATTACGTAATCAACAAATCAATCAATTCGTCATTTCGAGGTTTTAAATCTTTTTACGTTCTTTTATTCTTCAATTTCTGTTTTCATTCCTTTTAACAGATTCTTGTGGAAGCCGTGTTTCTTCTGGCTGCTATTCTCGCAGGCACGTACTATAGAATACTGACGGCGACGGCACATCGCAAAACATTTTCCGGCACGAAGACGGTGATCGAGTCGCGAATTAAGCTCGAATGCGAGAGGGAGCAGCAGGAGCAATTATTGCTGAGCGTGATTCCTGCCTACATCGCAGCGGAGGTGAGCTGTAAAAATGCGAAATTATGCTTCACGATTCGTGATTCGATTAAAATCCGGATTACGATCTATATTACGTCGGAAACAGTCGCAATGAAATTTTCGACACGAGCAGAGACACACATAATGAGAGAGAGAGAGAAAGAGAGAGCTTTTTGTCATTATGCGCGACCGTCAATTGATTAACATTTAATTAAATTCCGGTTTGCATTGTTTCGATGACCTTTTATTTATATATGTTTTAAAATCATAAATAAAACAAAAGTTGAAACAGAGAAATATATTGAATGTAACAAAACGATTTAAACGAGAAAAATAAAATTCACAAAACATGATATTTAATAGAAAAAATTTATATGCGAATAGTCTCACATTTTGTAGAAACAAATCAATCTCTGTGGTAAACTGTAAATAAAATTCAAATTTTCAAGCAATTATCTTTGTTTGCGAATTGTGCGCTTCTCAATGAAATTAAACATTTTGAGAAATATTTGCATATCTTTTACGAAAAGTTCTCCAAACAAGAGTAATTAAGAATTAACGTATATAAGTTATTCGCGAAATTTGTCGCTAAAGAAGTTTGTAAGAACTTACCTCAAATGAAAGAAACAAAGAGGATACGCAGCATGTTCGTGACAAAAATCTCGTGTAAGTTATTTGACGTGCAGATGTTTAATCAGTCGGTAAATCCACGCGATTAATTATACTTTTGAGAAAGCTCGTTTGTTGCAGAAAAGCTTTATAAAGTTGCACATATACATTGTCGTGACATACATCGAGAACGTGCTCATGGAATGCGTCTTTGTTAGAGCCCAACAAATGTATATGTACATAAATGGTATTTCCTTCATGGAAATATATTTGATGTCGTTTTTCGTTGTAGCGACGTTACATTTGGTCGAAATTTATTTTGTTCACGGGATTTTATACGTATATAAATTGTATAAAACTTTTAATGTGTGTACGTATCTATAGAACTGCTATAGACAATTTTAAAGCCCAATGTGAAATTGGAGATACACAAATCTACAAATATATATTTCGCAAGTAAAAAGCTTGTGGTGATTTAAAAAAACTTGAACCAAATTAAACTAATCTGTTAAGCACGCTTTTATTTTTAAATAATAGAGTTTTAACAATTTATTGCATATAGTTTTATTAAGAACTTCTGTGTTTCTAGGATTCTATTAGTCGAAGCGGAACAGATTTATTCATGATTTCATATTGCAATCCGATTATTTTTGACCAATGCAAACATCGTGCGAGATGTAACTGTATTTGCCAATAACATGAATAATTTACAACTTTATACGAATGATTTGCGTGTTAATTCACTAATTCGAAAACTGTGGCGCACATACGTGGCCCGCTTTATTGATACACCATTAATGCACAAATTTCAGTTCCAAAATCATATATCACAAGAGTAATTAAAAATTACAAATCGTTTAATAAATCTAATTACCGCGTCATTTTGAGCAACGTATTTGTGAAAAGTGTAAATAAAAATTATTTATATATATATATGATATGTATATGCTTATCGATGTAGTATGTTTATGGTGTGTTTGTTGTGCACAAAAACTTGATAACGCAATTAAACTATTCTGTTGCAGGTAAAAAGAAGTATTATGCTGAAAATGGCGGATGCTTGTCAGGAAGCTAATAAGCATAAGCAAACCACGTTCCAGGAGATGTATGTACAGCGACATAATAACGTTAGGTGCGTCGTTTAAAATTTCTAATAGCTTTAACTTAATGAATAATTCTAGTTTTACATATCTCTTACTTTATTACAGTAACATAAGTTAACATTCAGTTAATATGCAAAAAAGAAACATAAGACGTGCAAAATGAATTATAAAAAAATAAATTCTCGCATCAGATTAATATTCAAATCGCGATTGTATGGATTTATTGGACGTTTCCTTTTCTTCGTATAAGCATCCAAGTGAATCGATTTGTCGCCGAAACCGGTAACGTTAAAAATAAGAACGAAGACGCTCTCAAGGTCAATAGTAAAAATTATTTAATAAAGTTTCTAAAAGACGCGTATTTGATTATGTAGGTCACAAAATGGCAGAGAATGTCGATTACGTCGAATTATGATGCACGCTGCACATATCACGTAACGCTTTTGATCGCTTTTCTCTTTTATTTACGATTCGATCTATAGGACTCGTGCGCCTATGAATACGTCACGTGCAGCATTCATTCGAATCCGAGCGCCGCTGTTTCGTTCAAAGGCAAAAATATATCTCTGTGGAAAATGCGAAATTATAGAAAATTCTGTTTCTTTATTGATTACGTAGCATTCTTTATGCGGATATTGTCAACTTCACGCCATTATCGGAGCAACTTTCCGCTTCTGATCTCGTGAAGACACTCAACGAACTCTTCGGTCGATTCGATCAAATAGCACAGGTAAGCGAAAACGCATGCAAATTGAATTAACCTAAAGTTCGCGTTTAATTAAAGTTTAGGTTAATTAAAAGTAAATTTTTGATTTTTGATAAGCAAGTAAAACGCTTCTCTGTGCATGTAAAAATATTGCTTGTTTAATTAAAATCGATATAATCTAGTTTTTAGTTTCTCACGATGTTGTCGTGTATCGCGTTATTTTTTCCGTAGAGTATGTGGTAGTTTTATTTTTTAATTTGATTTTGAACATGTGAGACAAGTGCATCCGATATTCGATCGGGTCGATAATAGAATAGAAAGTCTCACCACACTGTGGTGATCGCAACCAGATCTCTTGTTAGATATATAATCGGTATTGTCATTCTCTAACCCTAAGGTCGACCGTGGATCCATTAATGCGGGGCGAATAAAATGTCTGAAACCTTTTACCCTTTACCAACAAGTAGAATATATACAATCGCCTGCGACTTGTGCGAAGAGCACAGAAAGTATACTTCCAATTTACGGGAATAATAGCGAAACATTTTCACAAAAGTTTGAGAAAATTTATTCAATAAAAGTTATCCCATAAACTATCTGCTCGAACACGCAATTTTGTGATATAACATTGGCGTAACAACAATTTCGTGATTTAAATTAGAAAACACGTACTTCATTAAAAGATACCTTTAATTAATGTTTTCTTCTTGCTTTCTCTTTCTTTTTATTTTGAAATTACAATTTAAATAATTTTAATTATTCTATTGTTCTGATGGTTGCACAGTTTCAGTAAAACCTTAAGAGATTTATTTCAATTTAAACTTTCTATTATGTTATTACATTATTGCTACAGAAAATTTTGCTAGGTGCGCATAAAATATATTGTTTCCTCATCAAATTAAATATAACTAACTAACCATGAGACTCGTTTCAATTAAAATACGCTTAAAACGAGGTGTCTCTCTCATTTTACGCAAAATTCACGTTGAGATTCCAAGCAAATATTCACATATGAGAATACAGTTTTTATTTGCAGAGCACCAAAAAAGCGCGCGATATTTCATGTTAAGAAATAATGCAACAACGACGAAAAAATTGAAGACAAGGATTGAAAATAATACTCGCAATGTGATAAAACTTTGCATTTCTTTGTAATTTTTCATAAATATCATATTCTCTGACTAAATTCTTAATAATAAAAAAAAGTGCGAAATGTGATTCGCAACGATTACCTTTTTTTTTTTTTGCCAATAATATCGGATGTCGTTCAATCAACTGTGACACAGATAAAGTGGTCTTTGTGAACATCTGCCGGTATCTATTCGCAAAAATATGCGCAATTTATTTCTTCTCAACGTTTAATTTCTTTTATTCTACGCTTAAAACATCGATTTTTTTACTGCAGAAATTTTTTTGTGAAAAAACATTACGAAAAAAATTGATTGTGCAAATTGCTACGTTAACAAATAAATATTACTTGCAATAAAATAAAATAAAAATTTTTTAAAATCCAAGACAATTAATGAAAAAATGTTTTAGAGACGTGAATAACGTACGACCCAATAAAATTGTAACACAATTTTATTGGGTTGCGCGTAGAAAGCTAGTTACGAAGAGAAATTCCACACTTTTCGTCACTCACATTTTCAGAGTCTAATAAAATTAACAAGCGCAGATAGTAGTTCCAGTTTAATAAAAAGACAAGCGAAAGTGCAGTTAATCTTACGCATTTTCATTTGTTCTCTTGATTGTACGCAGAATAAGAGAGCTTTAAATTAATACTATATATATATATATAATAAAACTGTGGACTAATAAGACTACAAAGAGTGGGGGCAAAATGTACAATCTGCGTACCGCTGAGCTCATAATCGGATACCATTTGTATTCTTTCTCGTGGCAAAAAGAAAGAGCATGAACTTACAACGTTAACACTACATTAGCGTGGAAGATTGCTTTTAGAACGACAACGTAACATGATACCGGTAAATGCATTTCCGTAGTTTTCGAAAAGATCACTCTGGTTTAATAGCATATTTGGCTTTATAATACTAGTACAAAACTAAATAACTTTTCTGTTAAAATCGAGAGCTTTTCTCTCTTGTAATTTTCTTTTTTGAAAAAACATGAAAATATATTATTTTCTTATTAAAAACACAAAGCTACAAAATTTATATATAACACACACACAATTAAAGATGTAAATTATTTTCTTTTATTTCATAATCGAGTGTTTATAATTAAATTAGCATTTCAAAATATATTTTATAATATATTACGCCTACATATGTTTTTTTTCTGTTAGCTGTTTATTTTATCAATATTTATTATTTTTTTCTTTAAAGTTGTGAAAAAACACGTCGGCCAACGCGGTGCTTTTCATTCGCGCGCGGCCCCAGCTAATATCGTTGAACAAATATGCGGCATATATTTTGCAGTACGAAAGGGAGTACAAAGCGCGTGCATCGGCAGACACGGGTAGATTTAAAACACCAGAGTTTTCATTTATTTTTCAAAGTTCTTTCAGCGTTGCGGCCGCAACGTTGCTTCCGCTACTGTTATCGATCATAAGCTTTCGGAATTGTTTATAAAGCTGAATGTCTGTTCTGGGAGAAGCGAGTTATCCGCGGGCTTAGTTAGCGAGAAGCTTGCTAAATCTCGCACGTCGGAGGCCACGTTACCAAGGTCTCTAGGCTTTACGGGATGGCATAACTTGCTTTTACGGCGCCCGGAAAGACGCGTCATCCGAGTACCCGGGATGAGAATGCAAGAGTGTACAATATACATGTACCGGTGGCGAACGCTAATATGCCCGTGTAAATTGCGTTTTTCGCCAACGTCTTTTCTCATGTTAAAGGTGTAAGAAATAACACATAAAAATCAAATTCAAAAAATAGAGAGGGAGGAGTGGAAAAACAACACGTGACTAAAGTAACGTGACTGTAATTTATATTATATATAACAGTAAATAATATATAATTATACATATAATTTATTATTTATTATTTATATTTATACTATTATATTTTATATTGCATTATATGTATTACATATATACTACAGTAAAGTCACTGACCTCAGTCGCGTGACCGCGGCGGGGTCACTGACCTCGGCCGCGCGACCTTGGGGGGAGTTCACTGACACTACACGATAAAATAAAAGCAATAATAGCGTGCGCGTAGCGCGCGCTTGTGTTGTTCTAGTATAAAAGAAATTAGAAAACGTGCATGGTTTGTCATTCTGCGGATAAGAACCGCTTTTATTAACAATTATTAAACGATTTTTAGTAATAGAAAAGTTTTTTTTTTAGTTTAGGAATTATTTTGGTTTTGTTCACATTCGAGAGAAACTCGTATTTCTACTGAAATTTGATACGTTTGTCTTGCACAAGAGTAATCGAATTTTGCACAAAAGATGGTGTTGAAGTGATAGAGAAAATTGTAACTGTTTGGACAATTCCCAATTCTTGTGAGAAGTCAAACAGAAAAGCAATTACGCACTACAAACACTTCTATTGTAAATGCTCACTTGCAAGAAAAAAAGTAAAAGAGTAATTTGTAACGTGTATTTTGCCGAGTTAAATGAGGTTTTACGATTGTAAGAGTCGTTACATGGTACTTTTAACACGTCGCGGCAAGTGAATAATTAAATCCGACTGAATGAAAAGAGTAGAACATCCTGAGATGGCGGCTGCTTTTTTTGTGTGACATAAAGTGATCGTTAAATATTGAAAACTCCCAAATGCGCAGTTTCGCAGCCGTTGATCTGTGTGTAACTTACATAACGTTACTTACATAACATTAAATAATTATGAAAAGTACCACTGAAGAAAATCCGCGACGGTGGATTTATATTATATGTAACATGTATGGTGGATAGAAAAGAACTGTTTCTCTCTCTCTCTCTCTGGCTTTATTCTTTTTCTTCCCATTTTTGCGCAATCTATATAATGATCACATACAACATAGCAATTCTTCCCGATTTCTCCCGATAACGTTCCATTGCGTTTCATGGCTGACTAAACCGTAACGGATAGAAGGAAAAAAGATGGATTAGGAAGAAAAGTCACGAATACGCGAGTAGCCATGCGAAAAATATTATCGAAAGACGATATTCTTGCCGGCGATGATCTTCTCATATTTTCACGGATCAGAGCCGTCGTGTCGGATAACATCTCGAGAAGAAAAACAAAACATTTTTACCATTTTTGTCACAATTTCATATATTAATTTATTTGTTCAATTTCAATCCCGTTAAATTTTACGTCACGCACGATTGTGAAATTTTTGATTACACGAGTCGAATAAAATTTCAAAAATTGTTTGTCATTTCAAATTCTGCGCGAGATCATTCTGCTGTGAGACACGACGTATATTACAAGGACTTTTTCCGCGCGCGGATATTGATGTGTAAACTTCTCGCGCTTATCCTTTCTCGACGTTCGAAATGCAAGTGAAGAGGACGCCGCAGATGGAAAAACTTTATTCCATTCATATAGATGGAATGTGTACGCTATCAAAGGCTATCAAAGCTTCGGGGAGAATGCGTCTGTTCATTTCCCGTCTTTGAGAATAGCGCGTATTTACTTTTGCAAACAAATTGCCGGAGGAATTCTCCGGTCCGGCTTTACAATATAAGAGGGACCTGTGGAGAAATTAAAGGAATTATAGTGACAATTAATTAACAAGTCTTATAGTGCGCGTTCTCCTATAGTTAACAGCTTTTGTTTGGTAACAAACAAACGTTTATGCAACAAACCACAGATTGCAGAGAAGTGTGCGTTAGCGTTTACAACAATAAAAAGTATTAGAGGAATAACGCAGTATTGTATTCATTTATAGGAAATTCCATGTATTAAAAAATACATGTATAATTATTTATTTTTCTGTTGTTTATTTCCTGGGTTTTGAAATATTTTTAAAATTATATATTTATATTATAAATATAACATATTTATAATTGCATAATTAATTAGATAAATTTAACATAATAAATTAAAATAAATACATAATTAATTAGAATAAATTTTGGCGCATTATTTTTAATATGAATTGTAATACGCACAATTTTAATATTTTGTTAATTAATTTGTAATGATTTTTAGGATAATCAATGCATGAGAATCAAGATATTGGGCGATTGTTATTATTGTGTTTCCGGGTTACCGGTTTCTCGCCCAAATCATGCTTACAACTGCGTGAACATGGGACTGCAAATGATCGACGCCATCAGGTAAGAATGAAATAAAATACTGAAATTACAACATGCTGCCGACTCACGGTTAGCTTGTTAGTTACGTTCGTTTTTTTCTTGCCAATTGTAACTAAATTGTCACCTGAGGAAGGATAACACGAGAAGCAAAAAAAAAGAAATTTCAAAATAATTGCTTACGTTTCTTTTATGTGCAGAAAAACAATTATAAAAAATGAGGAAAATCTCTCAGCAAACTCACGTAAAATATTTCACTATTACATCGGTAGCTGTTTTCCTTCGTGATTAATATTTCCAATATAGTAATTTCTGCTTTATTTTATTCTTCTTTTATTTTCCGCGCTTGTACGCGATGGTGCAAATAATTGTTCGCTACTGGAAAAATTAACTTTTTTATCATTATCGGTTACATTATTGTACATGCTCACTTACCGATTATTCTCAGCGTTCACAGTTTGATTAAAATAAATTTTTAAAAATTTACAAAAAAATGTTAGATGTTATTTAAAAAAAAAAATAGAATATTCTTTTAATTAATTTTAATTTGTGTTAATATGTTTTTTTAGCTCGCGGAATGTTCGTTATTGTGTGCACACGCAGCCGCAATTTATATTTGTAATTATCATGAATTGTACTCGACATCTCAATGCACTCATCGTGTATGCTTCTCTAGTTAATCGCATATTACGCTCTAATAATTACAGACTTGCGTTTGCTTTGTCGGCGGCATCGTTCACACATGTAAACAAAATGTCGTCATTCGGTTCTCGCGCGGCTTTGGGGCTTAAATGATTGATATAACGTCGTTCAGTTGCATATGCATGAATTATATACAAACCGAAAGATCGAGTATCATCATGCATAAACGTTGCTTGTTATTGCGGGAGAATGGAAATATCGAATATTAAACTTTCGTTTTTGTGTATCTTTTATTTTAATTCTCTCTCTTTCGCATTTCGCATTACAATTGTGTTGAAAATAAAGTAACGAGTAACGGGAAAACTCCAAGCCGGGAATAGTAAAAAATGTAATCGGACATGTATCGGCTAGAATATTTATAGGCGCATGTGATAAAATACGTGCAAGAAAACGAAAACGGAATACGTTCTCGGATTATATCTCTTCTCACGTAGATTTGTCCGCGAGGCCACCGGCTTCAACGTCGACATGAGAATAGGAATTCACACGGGGAATGTGCTGTGCGGAGTCCTCGGTCTACGGAAATGGCAATTCGACGTGTGGAGTGACGACGTGACCCTTGCCAATCACATGGAGAGCGGCGGTCTGCCAGGGTAAGACGATTCATCGCTGTCGTTCTCTCTCGACCTATATTTTTATCACTTTACGATACAGTTACCATCGAGCGAGGAGTGCCTTAGCGATAGTGCCTGAAATATTGTCTCTCTTTGCATCTCCAAAGAGAGAAAAAGAAGCTTATCCAAAGATTAAGAAACTGTACATAAGAGACCGCGTATGTAATCCTAAAAACTCTTCACTGTAATAATTAATGCCACTTCTTTCTATTTTTTTACGCGAAGCTGTGCATAAAATGTCGAAATATTTTTTTTTCAAATATTTCAGTTATAATTTTATAGTAAATAAAATATTCGACTTTTTGAAACGATGTCGACATCGCTCTTCTACTGTGGTTTGTACGATTATGAATTCTGAAACCGTGCGGCATAGAAATTTTATTTCTTTTTCATCTTTAGAAAATCGCTCGCGCATAGCGGTTGTGCGCGTACCACACACACACATATTGCTATATCGGCAAAAATGTTTTTGCAATTTTAAGACGAGTTCACATAACAAAGGCCACACTATTGCAACTGGGTGATCGGTTTGAAGTCGAGCCAGGCGATGGAGAATCCCGGGAAAGTTATCTTGCTCAGCACAAAGTGGAGACTTTTCTTATTGTGCCGTCTAAGGTAAGTGGGAATCTGTCATCTGTCTGAAATCCATTTGAATTCTGTCATCGCGCGGATATTACTCGCGGATTGATGATTCTTCCAATTAGAAGCACCCGTATTCAGTTCTACGTCAAACGGTAGTCAATGAAAAAGCACACACACACACACAGGCAATGGAAAAACGACGTAGACTCCGCGATCTATCTCCATTTATTCGCTATACAGCGGCATGCGCTTTATCTTCGTCAGTACTAATTAATAGCATGATTGTAAGTGCACAAATTGAATTACCTAACAGAGATATGCTGATATTACAGCGGTTTCAAAGGAAATCTTTTATGATTTTCAAGTAAATCTTTTTTACATCTCGATAATAACATTAAATACTCAATTTATAGTTTGAAAAGAAAAAAAGTTTTTACAAGATTAGCTGTTAAGTCTCCAATGTAATTACGAGAGAGTTATCTCTGTGTTTTATGCGCTGTTGCGGTGAAGAACATTTTGAGAAAGATATTATTCATTTATTTGAAATGCGCAATGGAAATGCGGAATTATTTCTCCGTGAGAATTACTTTCGACCGCGCTACGAACGATACGGATTTATTTTCGAAACGGAGAAGGTTCCATGAGCGCTGATGAACAATCTATCACAGAACGATGATGGTAAAGTTTGCCGCAATAATCCGAATAAATTGGCCGCGTCTTGTCCCAATATGAACAAAGTTTAGGCTTGTAATGGTTCGTTTATCGCTTCAATAAATATTCCGGCAAAAGTTCATTATGAACTCGCTTGAAAGCTCGAGCTTTCGCTTTCCGTGAATTTATATTCGCGTTTTATATTTTCTCGTTATCTACCTATCCATAGATGTTTGTCGTCTCGGAAGATTATGATTTCGCGTAACCGCGTAATCTTATGAATCTTTATATCTTTGTAACGAAGTTGTCTCGAAGAAGAATTATTCTTTTTAATGAGAGATCATATCGCGGAAATGTTTCCGTTCGAAACGTTATTCTTCGCATGCGCGTTGATTTGACAGCGTTGACGGTGATTAATTTTTACTTGAAATTTATTTGTCCCGTATTTTATACCGGGGTAAATGCGTTTCTCGTAGCGACATATAAATTTATTGCGCAAATAAAGTTATAATATATATTTATGAGATTTTTGTAAGTTTTCTAAGTAGAAGGATTTATATTTTCTTTGTAAGTATGGAAATTGTATACAACACATATACTTGTGCGTTGAAGATAAACGGAATAAAAAAAAAAAAAAACCATATTGTGCTTTACATATTATGTCTTTTACACAAAGAAAGACCGCAGACACGAATTTGCCGCTGGAATTTTCTTTTCGTAGAAAAATCGAGAGGAAAATGGAATGGAAAACGGCGGAAATCGTATACACGGACCTGGACCGATACCCTCCAGGTGTGTTCCATTATATAATTTTTATTTTTCACTCGATTTTGATCTGAACATGGTGAGCAAAATATCAATACTATAAAAATGATACAACAAAGGTTAAAAATTTCTGTTGTTACTACTGCGTTCGGTAGATAGAAGTTTTTATTATTTGCATGTAACATATTTTCTTAAAAGATTGTATTTATATTATTTATATTATTTTCGTATTTATATTATTTCAGTCTTTTCGCATTATTTATAATTTCCGCATTTTACATTCTTCTAGAATAATAAATAGATTATATTACATAATTATTTTTATTTTTATTAACATAACTGAGACTTTATTAGCAGCATTATTTTAATAATGATAAAAGTATCAACGTATGATTTAACGTGTTTTATGATAGATCGAGGCCTAGTAGCAAAATGACAAAATACGTGGAGTGCTGGGGAGCGGACAAGCCTTTTGCCAATATAGCGGAAGCAACATTAGCAAAGAATATTGGCTTAACAGTAAGCGCTATTGCCAATTGTTTTTGTGTAATATTTTTAATAAAGCAATTATAATGGTTTTTTTTTCTGGTTTCCCGACAGAGCATTGCAATGATCGAATCAAATCTTTTGGCGAATAATACCAACTGCTTCGATGTACAGTGAGTTACGCATTTACTTAATTTGTGTAACAATATTTTGTATATTTTTCTCAGCAAAACAAACTAACATAAAATACACTAATTTAATATCGTATAATAGTTTTATAATATAATACATAATTAATTAATTTAGCCACTAATAACAGCTGACCCTAATGATTCAATAACATCTATTTGCACGTTTATTTGCATTATATGTCACTCTTCTCTTTATTACGCACACGCGTTGTACCTATACCTGCATATGTGGTTGTTATTTGAAATCAGTTAATGAACATTACAATATATATGTTGTCCTTAACAAATATAATTTGGAGACAATCGCGTTTAATGACCTTAAATTATTTACGACACAAAAAACCATTTTTCGTTTTCTCTTTGTACGGCGTAGACAATGGTGCGGCGGAAGTGAAGAGATTTCACCTTTCACTTATAACTTTAAAGACAAGAATCAGGAACAACTGTATCAAGAGCAAAGGGATGAGCAATACCCTTGGTACGTCGTAGCCTCCAACGTCGTTTACATGATGATGTTCTGCATCCAGATTATTTACTTACCAAGGTGAGTTTTGGTAACAAGTCAACTGAATGTTTAATACTCAGGTTTCATGGGAATATATCACCTACTTTAATAGATTACAGAATTATAAGGGTAACATTTGAAAAGTTTTGTGAAATATGATACTTAAATTAAATTAAATTAAATTATTGTTCTGAAAAGAGAGAGTTTTCTTAATTATTTTAAATACTTTTTTAGGTTTATTTAGTTTTGATTGCATTTAATTGTAAGAACGTTTGAATATATAAAGTAAACATGATTTTGTTCTATATTGAAAAAAATATATATCAGGTTTTCTCTTTCACTTATAGAAGCATCGCGGTTTACGGTTGCTTCGCAGCCGGTTTAGCATCTTTGATTATATTTTTTATGGTTTCGTGGCTCAGTGGAAGAAGCAGCGACGGTACCGAAGAAACCACGAATCAAATTGCTCTTAGTCGTAGTGTGAGAATTTCAGTATACTTGATATCGGCCGTACTTGCTATCGCATCATCAGTAATCAGTTTGGTCGAAGTCGATCAAGTCGCTGGATCCGACATCGTACCAGTGCGTATGTCCAAAAAAAACGACACACAATGTCAATTAATTAAAACAAAAAAAAATACATTTATTTGAATAATTCGTTTTGCGATTTTGAGAAAAACTGTTGAAAAAGTTTTCAACATCTTTTTATATTCGAGTTTATTTCTCGCTATTGAGCAATTTGTAATAAAATCAATATTTACAGCTGTACTTGTATTCTCCGGTAATAGCGTTGGTAGTCGGTTGGACACATTTGAGAGTCGGTTTCCTGTTAAAATTGCTCGTAATGCTGCTGTCAGTTGTTGTGATACTTTTAGTTTTCTCTCAAGCACCTGTCATCCAATTGTATTACAACGATCCCAATTCCAAGTGAGTAAGAAGATACTCAGAAGCGCGTTATAAATTGCAAGCGATGCCGGAAAACTTCGCAGCTTTACGCGACCACGTTGAAATTTTCCCGCAGGTTTTACGGCGTCCATTATCTGATGCAAGTGGGCTATTTGCTGGCGCTCGTCAGTTTGATACTACATATTCTCGACCGACAAGTGGAATACACGTCCAGAACGGACATTTTGTGGAAAAGTAAGCTGCGAGTCGAGCAAGATGAGGTTGAAACCATGAGAGGCATCAATAAAATCCTCTTGGAAAATATACTTCCGGCGCATGTAGCTGATCACTTTTTAGCCACCAGGACTACGCAGGTGTTACGAAATTCTTAAATTTAATACTTTTTCTCTAATATTTAGTAATATTAGTAAATTTAATAATATTAATAAATTTTCGTAATATCAATAGTATTTATTATTCGCGATATTATACGGTTATGTTATTGTTTGATTTTAATAAAAATCGAAACGATAACACGCGATAAAATGCACGACGATTGTTGTCTTTTAATTAGCAGGAACTTTATCACGAGCGATATAGCAGCATTGCCGTAATGTTCGCGTCGATTCCGAACTATAAAGAGTTTTACGACGAAACCGATATAAACAAGCAAGGTCTCGAGTGTCTGCGTCTACTTAACGAAATCATTTGTGACTTCGACAAGCTTTTGCTTAAACCGAAATTCTCAGGGATCGAGAAGATCAAGACGATAGGCAGTACTTACATGCTGGCGTCAGGCCTAAGCCCGGGAAAGGAGGACAGTGATAACAAGGTAAGATTTCTTTCGATCTTTTTTTGGAGTGTAGATCAATCTCGTAGCTTTTTCAGCGAAATTTCGTTTTTTTCCTAAGAAAATTCGGACAAATCCGTAGGTATTGTAGAATGTATTTCAATTCAAAATTTTAAATAAAATTATATTCGCGCGAGTACAAAACAAAATTGTTTCAAGAAGTTTCGTATTAGTCTTTTAGAGAGATTCAAAATAATAAAATTGTTGTGTCTGTTTTGTATAAAGGATTTGTTGAAGCAACAAGATCATAACGTAATCGTGCTTGTCGAGTTCGCTATTGCGCTCATGGCGATTCTGGATCAGATCAATAGGGATTCGTTTCAAAGATTCAAATTGAGGATAGGTAAGTATATTAAAAATTATTACGTACACATTTTGCAACAAACAAATTTTTTTTTTTTTTTTTTTTTTTTTATCGCGCAGGCTTGAATCACGGCCCAGTAATAGCGGGCGTCGTGGGCGCCCAAAAGCCGCAATACGATATTTGGGGAAATACGGTGAACGTGGCCTCGAGAATGGACAGTTGCGGCGAAATGGGTAAGCTACAAGTTACCGAGGACACTGCCAAGATCCTCATGGATGCTGGATACGAGCTCGTTTGCCGTGGGCCGACGTACGTTAAGGGCAAGGGGACTCTCACTACGTACTTCGTAAAAACACCCTTCGATGATAAGGAGGACAACTATTAAAATCGAGTTCCGCGAATCCAGAAACTGACTTGAGCAATCAAACTTCACTTTGCGATCGAAAAAATAATCTTTTTCACGATATTATTTAGTGAGTCTAAAAACGGAGAAATGTGTGGCGGAACACGGCGAAGAATAATGTGAAAAATAGGATTTTACTTAAGCCACTTGTGAATATGAAACGAATGTCTGCCAAATCGTCGATTCTCTAAACTTTTAAATGATCTACCTGTCGATGTGCAATCTTTGTGGATGTTAGGTTGTAACTTGCAAATAAAGTTTAACGAAGAGAAATAATATGGCCGATATTCGCAATTCAATTTTAAATACAAAATTCAATCGCGAATTGCCGGCTCGTTGCGACGTCAGGAAAGTAATGTTTTTTCAAAACTTGTCATGACACTTGAAAGACAGATATAAAAAACGTAATCGATAAATATTACTTCGTGCTTGTCATTTAATGTGTAACGGAATGAGTAATTGGCATGAAAAAAAAAAAAAAAACATGGATGTATGTTCAGAATTATTACTCTCTCGATGTTTACTGCACTTAATTGAAAGAAGGGAGCGAGGAAGTAACTGAAGAAATTAATGTGTTCTAATTGTGTATCGAAGATATATAGAAGAGGCAGAAGATGATCTCATGCAAGTATTTTATCAGAAATCGTTTCGACGAATCTCACATATATATTGATTTAATCTCGCAATTTTTGACTTATGAGCAGCGATCATAAGCATCGTTACACGGTACCTGCAAGTAGATTATCTTGTACATACAATACAAACACGCAATCACATGTGCATACACTATATATATATATTATATTATATACATGTGTACATATACACTTGAATCGTCGCAAGAGCTGCGAGATATTTCATTTGGGACGAACAGTATGATCTCTCTACATTGTGAAACAACGAGAGCTTCTGAATCAACCTTAATGTATACCACTCTCCTTTATACAATGTTCATCGCCTTTTTTCCCAGTTTTAAAATATTGTGAACACTATATGTATAAAGAGATATGATAAAGTTCTCTGTGAATGTAGTCGTGGTGCGTTATATTCTATCTACAATAACCCACAACTTTTCTGCTATTTAAATCTCGATAGATTAAAAAAATGAGAGACCAAACTTTTATTTTAAAATTAAGTTTTTAAAAATTTGCAATTTGATATTTTAAAGATAGAACTTATTTAGTGCTATAAAATAAATTTACGAAATGAAAAGAAAGAAATAAAAAATAACTAATATGATGATTTATTTCAACGTAAAATGTGTAGAAAAACTAAGATTGTGTAGGAGCAAAAAGTGAATTTTCACAACATCGTAAATTTACGCGTAGCACGAGCCTTGGTTCTGCAAGCACCATTCGGGTTGCAGGCTGTCCGCATCGATTCCTCGTTTAACGAGTCTCTCGCGGTGCCTCAACATTCTCTGCTCGGCGTGAATCCACTTGGAATCCGGCTCGCTCCATAATCTCTCGGCCATCGCAGCTGATCTTGGCCACAGTCTCGAATCAGTGGCCGCGCTGTCCGCCTGTTCGGTCCAGAGCGCTGCTTCCCCACCTTTAAGAAACCACACAATGTATAGCAGTTTGCAGTTTGCGTTAAATTTTGAGCATGAAGTTTACCTAAGATAAGATGCTTCTTGTTCCCATAACCTTGGTTCTTGATCATCTGCAACGGTGAATTATCGTAGACTTTCTGCCAGCCCTTGTATGGCGCGCACCAGTTGACACCTTCGCCTACCCAGGCTCCAAATCTAGATGAAGAAGAAAATATAATTAAAGATAACTGAAAATTTGCATTTAATATATGTGATTCATGTGTGTATTTATTATTTAATTATTAATTATTTACATTAATTATTTATATTTTATGGTATTAATATATTTCCACTAAGTTTACTCACCCGCAGTCCAAATACAGAGCATCGTAGTTCGAAAAAATAACTTTGAAGTTGTTGCGAAGCAGTCGGCTGATAGTCCGATCGTAACCGGTTGTCCAAATTTGAATGATATATTTCTTCGGATCCAGATACTGAAGATTCTCTTCGCTAGTCAGTCCGCTTGTCCAGAGAACAGCCGGAATATCTTTCCCATCGTTAGCGATCTTCAGTTTCTCCAACGCTTTCTCTTGAAAGTAGTTCCACAATAGGTAGAAACTCCTCTCGCTAAGATCCCATCCCTTCTTCCGCATCCATTCGGTGATGATATTTGTGGATCTCCAGCAGTTTATATTCACTTCGTCACCGCCCATGTGAAAAATGTCCGGGTGCTGGAAATCTTCCATCATGTCCTTGTAGATTCCTTCGAGAACCTCGTACATCCTCTCGCTGGTAGGATTCAGCTGGCCGCATGGCGGTTCCACGCAATAATCCTTCCAGGGCTCGGCTTTGAAGCAAACTGTCGCGTTGTCGCCGACCTGTTCTCGTTAAAGTGCGATATATTTGAAATTATAACATAAATGTTTTTCGCAGTTTATTATTATAATTGTTATTTATTGCGATATTTTATTGCTTTATTGAAACGACTCTGTGAAGTCGTCATTATCACAAACAAGAAAATGTAAAATCAAACACCACTTGTGCGCATCTTAATTAACGATTAAAATATGTAAATACAGATGTTAACAACGTAAACAAACCGTTTAATTTTCAATGCTAATCACATCGATATTTTCGACAGAAAAGATCGATTTATGCAACAGGTGAACAAGTTCTTACTGAATGGCCTCTGTTGTATTTATATTGATTTTATAAACATTTGTCTTTATGTCATTGTGTAAACATTATATCCACTCACTGAGCAAAATGAATAATAAAACCTCTCTTCAATTGAGGCTAAATAATATAGTGTCAAAAATAACATTGTATCGAGATATAAACATTATATCTCGTTTTATCTTTTTTTTCTTAAACACTCTTATCTATAGATTTATACAGTTATGAATTTACACACGGCAATGTGTGTGCGTAAATATTATCGCGCCTGTCAAAGATGATACTAATTATTTTATCTTTTTAAATACCTAATAAAAAAAAAAGATATAATAAACGATATACGTCGATTATATATAGGTCGAATCACAATTTCTATATATCTCTTAGTATATAATCCGTCATAAATACAATACTAATCTGTTTTAAATTACATTCACTAGTTGACATTGTAGAAGCTATTACTCACCCACTGCCAACCTTCTCCGACGTGTGCAGGTGCATCGAACTCCGGCAGAACTCTGACACCGCGAACCAGCGCGTAGTCAATGATCTCTCGGATCATTTCGGGTGTATAGATCTTGGTTGGCGAGTAGGTTCCGTACTTAGCGAACTTTGGCCACGTTCTGCTTACGTAGGGAAAACTGTGGGAATCGGTGATATGCCAGTGGAAAGTGTTTAGCTTCGACATTGCCATACCCTCGATGGTCCGTAAGATCGTTTCTTTGTTGACGTAGTTACGACTGGTGTCCAAAAGGATTCCGCGATAAGGATACGTCGGAGCGTCCACGATGTACACTTCACTGGCTATTCGAACCTGGTTGCGCAGGTCGTCGAAGACGATCAGCTGGCTGATCGTCTCCATGCCGTGTCGACCCCCGAAGTATGTATTCGTCGAGATTTGAGCTTCCACCTTACATATTTTAATAAGAAAATTTTGGACCAGATCGTAGATGTTGGAATAACATACAATAAGTTACGCGTTATAATTTTTAATAAAAACAATTTAATTTAAATATCCGACTTAGCCCCATTTTAAATATATGATCATATTTTAGCTCTTTTCCCTATCAACTCTCTCTTCTCATTTATCTTGCCTTTGTTATCTTATTCCACAAAACAGGTGGTTTTATATTTTTTGGCGTCTTAATACATGCGTATGTACATTACAATACCGGACAAACCAGAAACATTTCGTTGACAGGCGAGAGTTCAAAACAAATTTATTCAACGCTTTTAACTCTCTTGTTACAACCTACCTTTCCATCGACCAGAGATATTTGTAGAACATAACTCTCGTCGGTGTCCAAGGTCAGCTTGGTATTGTTCAAATTAATGTTGCCGTTGAAACGGATCAGCAATCCGATACCTCCAGCGTTCAAGGTCACAGGACCGCTCAGCTTCTTCGCGTTCTCCTTAATACGATCTACGTTCCTTTGAAAAAGATTTCCCACCAACGTTTGGGGGGAAATCCCGGCCAGCGTGATATCATCGGGATTTAGTTGTATCGTAGTCTTACTAACGGATAAATGTCCCGTCGGCTTCGGCCAAAGATTTCCACCCTGACCGCAAGTCAATTGGCATACGCTAAGTGCGGACGGGTTGGAGTCCTGCTCTGTGATTAACACCTTCTTACACAGGCCGCCATCGCATTTGTAGTGCCACGGGGAACTGCGATTGAAAAGAAAATATCGATAATTTTCACTGTCTCGAATATTGTGCGAAGAAAATCCTACGTTGAACAAGAAATTTATTTCAAGTAAAATTATTGACTTTCGGTTGTCACATTATTAACACATTCGAGATCAACGTATCCTACAACAAAACTATCTCCAGTAGTCGGCAATTCTTATTGTAAAATGAATTATGATCCGCATGCTGAGTCATCGGCTAAATAAGTGAGACATTGCACGAGACATCCATATGCTGAGCCTCGAATGTGTTAATACTTTTTTTTGTAATAAAAAAAAATCTCAATTACTGAAACGTTATTTGTGAAAATATTATAAGATAAGAGATGCAAAACAAACGTTTTTATGAATGTGATATGTGTGCGACGATATGTGTGTATATAAGTTATATCTCAAGTATAGCAATATATAACTTTGCGATAAGAGAAGTAAAAGCAATGTATTATATATATTGCGCTTATGTCAGGCTGTAATCTATATATCTAATTTACTCATGATTCGTTGCTCTGTTCAAGTCCGAGAACCGCAGTTCCGAAGACCACAATAATCTTTCTTTCGAACATCTCCAAACTTCGGGAAGACTTCGAAGCGACCGATGCGGTCTATTTCTCAATGAATCCCACCCACCTGTTGCTTTCACCGTGTATACCAAGCGCGAATTACCTTTCTATCTAAAACTAACGTTCACGTGCGGTTGAATATTACTTGACCGTCTTAAAAACAAGCTGGCTATCTCTTCAGCATGTGACAAAACAGACGACGATAATCGAGAGAAGCGGAAAGATGATGAAAAACTGCCAAGTAACAAAAATCATCGAAACCAATATTTGAAGTTTGCATGAGAATCTCTCTTCTTTTTTCTTTTTTGTTTTAATCTTTAAATTTACGAATTTTATTAAAACTATGTTAGATTTTGCTTCAAAGTTTTTATATCCAACGCGCTACTTGCGCGATATGTGTGACAAATCGTGAATATTATAAAAGTAATCCTTATGTTTGCGCGTAACAATAGCACGAGATATTTTTTTATTGTATTTACAAGATCAAAAAAATCAAATTCAGCACTCATCAATTTTTAACTTGGTACTCACGTGTATTCCTCGGCCCGAATGGCACAGTGTTGGAGCGCGAGGATAACGGTCAGCAGAGCGAGCATGCCGTTTAGAATAATAATCGGCTAGATTTGCTGTCTGCCGAACGCTCGATTGTCGTTTGCAGAATGATTTTATCCTTCACCCGAAGATTACATTTAAGCGGCTGCGTTCGCGCCGATGAGAAAGGGAAAAAATCGAGTGGGGATGCGAGATCAAAGTCACGTGTAAAAAACTTCAGGCAAACCGAATGCAAAAAATTTATAATTGTTGGATTCAAGTGTTTCGGAATAAAAAAAAAAAAAAATTCTGAGACATTTTGCAAAAGTTTCCTTGCTTTTTCGTTCTCTTTTTTTTCACACACAAGTTCTATCTTTGTAACATCTTTTTTATTACTACAATTAAATAATTCAACATATCATACATAAATATAAAAAAAATAGTATTTTATATCATAAAAATAGTATATTTTATGTTAAGAAAAATATTTCATGTAACAAAAATTTGTCTTTTTTATGTTAAAAAGATTTTACGTAAAAATAAACAACATGTACGCAATTTACATATGTGCGTAATTGAAGGTAAATATAAAATATCGATTCAGCTGTTTTGTTGGCAGAATACGTGCAAAATAATTTTTTTTTATAATGATAACTGCATATATTATATCAAAGATCATTTTTTTATATACAAAAAACGCACATCTTTTTTTACTGAAGATTGCATTTCAAATCAACTAATAATCACATCCAAACTTAAGTATTTTTTTGTTCAATCTGCTCCTTGATAACGATTAATGATAAGATAACTTTACATTGCAAACAAGTTGTTTTAATATAATGTGGTGTAAAGTTGCTCAACACACTTTGCACACAAGTGTTACTTCAAAACAAAATTTACAAATTTTTAAATATTCTTTTTTATAAAACAGACAACATAAAATTGTTATTTTTTATCTGCTTTGTGCAAGTTTATTGTATCTTAAAAAATACTATATACACTTTTACCATTATAGTATGTACAAAGAAGAACACAATTATACGTAAAATAGGTAAATATTGTTTACTGTGTGTAAATAGAATTACAAGATAGAGAAGATAAATTATAAACAGTGGCAGCACATATATGTTAACACGTGTGTTCTTAAAACTAACTGGTCTTATTCATCTCCACGAATCGCTCTGTATTTGGCTAATTCATTTGGAAAAACTCGATTTAACTCCACCAGCATATTTGCTTTGAATTTTCTATAGGCATCAATCTTGCCCTTTACTTGCTCGTTCTTTGTCAGAGCCTTCTCTATACAGTCTTTAGTATATAATTGAGGATTTCTTCCTTGGTCAATGTAACTAAAAAAAAACATTATTTTAGTAAGTAGAAGTTTCATATTAATCAAACTTTGTGAGAAATATAATAAAAAAGTATTATCAAAAACTTACTCGAATACTTCTAATGGCACATGAACATCCTGCACCTGAGACTTTAGTTTATCAATTTCTTGTAAACCATTCACCAAGCCTTGACTACAAAGAATAAAAATAAAAAGAGTAATTACTTTCTACCTGCTGCTGATGCTACTATATCGAGGTTAACTTGATGAAAATGATGCCTTCGCCTAATACAAATAAACAAATGCAGTTTTTACAGACACTCACATTTTCTGATTCAATACATTTTGTCCTTGGGGCTGAAAATCGCTTACTATAATACGTATTTGTCGCACATTCTCGATAAATAGCTCTAATTGAGCTTCCAAGTTTTCCAAAGCGGACGCCATCTTAATTTACAGTCGCTTTACCGACGTTAAGAAGCTTTTTAAAACTAGGAAAATTTCTTTGATTAGTTGGTATGTGGTTGGTATATTATTTAGTAAATAGTTGACCGTAAAACTACTAGATGGCGCTCAAACATGCAGTGTAAATTTTCAATTCCTTCAGCTGTCATCAAAATTTATATTCTCGTGATAGTTATTTCTGATGTAACGTACAGAGAGGTGTTCGGTTGCTTCGTTTAATAACACAGTACAATGAACTGAGTATTGGCAAGGCGTTGCAAAAATAAACATAACATATTTATTAATTGTGATAAACTGTTATCTTGAAGATGGCTTTAAAACATGTAGTTGTTGGTGAATATAATATAATTTATTATTCTCTTTTTGATTTACGAATTAAGTACCGCAATTTTATAGCGTTACAAAAACTAGAGCATCGAGTTATGTAATTATTTTCAGGTGGTGGTACTGGTTTCATAGGTTCACAATTGATTAAATCGTTGTCCTTAGAGGGCATTTCTTGCACATGTATTTCTCGTATGCCAGGACCGAATAGAATGTCATGGGTGAGTTACGACAGCAAATTTGCACGCTGAAAAGATTCGTTGATAAGAATCAGCCACAAACTGTGACTGTCTAAAATATACAGAATGATTTAGAGAGCTACGGTTTACCAGAAAACACATCAGCGGTCATCAACGTAGCGGGTCAAAATGTACTTGATCCTATGCAGAGGTGGTCACCTGGTTTTAAGCAAAATGTTAGAAATAGCAGAGTGAAAACAACTAAAGCTCTAGCAGATGCCATAAAAAATACCAAAGTAGAAAGTTTTGTAACTATCTCTGGAGTTGCATATTATAAGCCCAACGATACTGTGTACACAGAAGAGAGCAAATGTGAACCATACGATTTTCTATCAAGTATATATAAGATATTGCTTAATTATTAAGAAATTATATGCAATATTAACATATAGAATTTTTTTGAGTCAGAACTTACTCATGATTGGGAGGAAGCAGCACAATTACCAAAAGATTGCGATGTCAGGCAAGTAACAATCAGATCTGGAGTTGTACTGGGCAAAACTGGTGGTATGATCAAGCAAATATATTTACCATTCTTTCTTGGTCTTGGTGGACCAATAGGAACTGGAAATCAATACATGCCTTGGATACACATTGATGACTTAGTTAATATGTTTATGTTTACACTTAAAAATAAAGATGTGCAAGGTGTATTAAATGGAGTTGCGCCTCAGGTAATTGTACAAATAATTTTACATTATTTTCCAATTAAAACTCTACGTATGAACTTACATTATTATTATTAATATAGCTTGTAACAAATATGGAATTTACGAAGACATTTGCAGCAGCTATGAGGAGACCAGCATTTATACCTCTTCCTAGTTTTGTTCTGCAGATATTATTCAGTGATGAACGAGCAAAAGTTTGTAGCATACATTTACGTTCAATTTTTGAATATTTTAATAATTTTTGAATATTTTAATAATTTTTTAATGATTCTTTCAGATAATGTTAGAAGGACAAAAAGTAAAACCAAAGCGTGTAACAGAACTGGGATTTAAATATCAATATCCAGATATCAAAAGTGCCTGTAAACAACTTGTGCAATAAACTCTTTTCATATATTTTCAATGAAAACTCGATACACAGAGACGCGTAGCTAATTAATTGTTATAAAAAGTGTTATAATGTAAGTGTTATTACAATTACACTGAGTACTATTATAAATTAATAGATTATTTAAATTGTATTTAAATTGTTAACAGCTTGCCATCAGACGTCTATCGCTCAGTATACAAATTTGTTTCTAATAAACAAATTTTGATTAGCAAATGGTAGCAATATTGTGAACGTGTACATGACGAATAAACGTTTGGTTTAATCACATTCTTTATTCAGCTTCGAATCACAAGGTGTAGAAATGGCACAAATATTCTTAGTGTATTTAATATAGTTGAGACGTGCCGAATTTTCTGTGTAAGGACTTCTTTTCAAATTTGCCGACTGATAGTTGTTAGGTTGTGTCCCAGGCATCAAACTTGGATAACTCAGGTTCTGCTGCATCTGATGGTATATCTTGCTACTGGTCAAGATATTGTCTGAGACAGTTATTTCATTAGACGTAGGTAGATTCGTTCTTCGTACATTTTGCAGGTATTCTGCAGAACCGGAAGGCAATAACAATCGTTCTGAAAAATCGGCCAACGAATGATTGAGATATTTGAGCCTGCTTATGTTTAAAAAGTAATTGATATTTTTCCTTAGATCTTCTGTTTCCTTTCTCGTTAATCCCGTCACATTGAAAGTAATTATTTTTCCATTCCTGTGTATGATAAAGATACCCATCTCGGTGGAAACTCCAACGTGTCGAATATCGGTGAGTTTCATCAAAGAGCATTCACTCGTTTTTCCCAAACACAATTTGTCACTCCAGATCGATTTTTCGACAACAGCTTTGTTCTCGTTCATGTATAGTTTTAGATCTTCCCATTCTCCGAAACAATCTAGCCAGAACATAATCTCGCCCAGAAGCAAAACGATCAGAAAATAAATGTTGCTCGTCAAGCGACTGAATATTCCGACAAAAATTACTGTAGACACTATAAAATATAATCGAATTTTTAAATGTGTGAGAGACTATGAGAAGTAAGAGTAAAATGTTAGCAAATATATATCTATAGAGACGCGAATATTGCTCATAATAAAAGTCAAGTATAATTTTATAAAAATTGTCCTTACAGCCAAGCAGAAACCAGGCAATACACACTGGTCTTCGCGATAAATGCAACTTATCTTTATTTAGAATTTTAAGCCGAGTTGCGGTCAGGTTCACATTGTAATCACAGGTAATGCACGACATTGTAAAGAGAATTTCGATGTTCCGCATCCATGTAAAACGCAAAAAGCGGAAAAAAGGTAAGAAAATTTTGATACATATGACGCGTAAGTCGTCAAACAGCAATTAAAAGTGCGCTGCGCATTTGTTATTTTTTGTGAATTTGTTACGAATTATAATTTCCAACTAGCACAACACAGGCGCGCGCTACGAGCACGCTATTGTTATTTTTATTTAACGTGTTGTCAGTGAACACAACCTGTCACCGCGATGACAGATAGTATATACGTCTTATAAACCATATAATACACATATGAGAAATGTCAGAAATAACGCATGAGAATCAAACTTAAAAAATAGTGAGAGAGAGAAGTGGAAAAACAACACGTGACTAAAGTCACATGACAGAAAAAAGCGTAAAAAAGAGAATATTATATACAATATATTATATGTAATATTCTATATCTATATATAATACACACACATGCGCATATATGTATATATATATATATACATATATATACCGTAATCACGTGACCGAAGTCAGTAACACCGCCGCGGCCGAGGTCAGTGACTCCACCGCAGTCGCGCGACCGAGGTCATTGACCCCGCCGCAGTCGCGTGACCGAGGTCAGTGACCCCCCCTCCACCAAGGCCACGCGCCCGCGGTCAGTGACCTCCCCCCACCAAGGCCGCGCGGCCGAGGTCAGTGCCCCGCCAAGGCCGCGCGGCCGAGGTCAGTGACCCCGCCAAAGTCGCGCGACGGAGGTCAGTGACATTACTGTAGTATGTATATAATACATATAATACAATATAAAGTATAATATTATAAATATATAATAAATTATATGTATAATATGTATTATTTAATGTTATATATAATATAAATTACACAGTCACGTTATTTTCACGTGTTGTTTTTCTACTCTTTCCTGTCACGTGACTTTAGTTACGTTTTTAATTTTCTCTACATATACGACGAACTGTCTCAAAATCGCTTTTCATTATTTACTCTCTCGATCTTACCGATTCGATTCGACTCGACTCTACTCGATCAATCAACCAATCGGCAATACGGAAAAGAGCAACAATAGATGCGATACATTCGATATCAAAACGCGCACTTCGCGGTACACATGGATTTTTTATATAGGAGGAGGAAAAAACAAAAGTAGACAAAATACGATGACAAATTAGTTATTAAACATAATTTATTAATAGAATATAATTTAACATCAATAATAAAAATAAATACAATTTTGTACATTTTAAATTTATAATTCTTAAACTACGATTACTGTCTTTAAATAACTAACTTTAGAGCGCAACAATTTTTATCTAAAAGCTATATATAGTTTTTATCACTTTTATTATATGTGCATACGATTTACGTGATATGAGAATTACGCCTTTGCAGAGAGATGTCGCTACATACGTATCATTCTGACAAAGTAAAATTACAGAATAAAAATTGAATCATAATTTCGACAATAATACAATATACAAAAATTTAAATAACTGTTAGTATTACATGTTTTGCAATATAGCTTAATATGTACATATGACTCAAATGACATTATATAAGTCAATATTGTTTTTTTTTAGACGAAGTTTTTGTAGAAAAAGTATTTTCTGAATTTTATTATCTTAAAAGATCGGCTGTGTGTTATAATCAATTAATTTTAAGATATATTTCATTTTTCATCGTAATTCCAATAACCTAGACAATTTGAATGGAAATTGCGGAAGTTTATATCAGCTTGTGCGAAGATGTGTGTCGCGCAGACCGAGTCACTTAAGTCTCGTGAGAAGACGCAGAAATGTCGAAGGCGAATCGCATGAAGGTCGTGAGACCGCCATCGGGCAGAAATTACGCTTCGCAAAACCGTTATCATGGCTCGCAAGAAAAATGATCTCTGATAAGAACACACGTGTTCAAAAGACGAAACGATCGTTCCCCGTAATCGTCAACATTGCTTCCACACAGAGATACGCTTAATAAGTGCGCACACCCGGTGCAATAGCACTTAATGAGCATTCCCACTCTCGAACTGAATTTTTTTTTTCTCTTTCTCACGAAATTTACGCGAAACAATGCATCCAATCGTCGATTATGCATATTGCAGACATGATATTGCGCGATGAGGATTAACGGCCAGCTTTTCAATTCCTGTAATCTCCTTCCCGAGGTAAAAATTAACAAACGATAATTGAATAGGTTGTTTTGTATTCACTTTGTCGGTTATGATTAAAGTGAATCGTAATCGATCAGTTGATCGATGCGATTGGTCAATTCCGTTGAACTAATCAAACGATTACGTTAACCGGAATTGATGAAACTGGCTGTAATTGTGTAAGTACATACGACACGTCGCAACGTATACGCACAGGTGGCGTTATCGGTACAATCATAGCCTGATTATTAAACTATAATTCCACTTCTAGAAGTAATACCAAAACATATATATTATGTTGTTGTTAGAATATTCAGACAACAGGTCAAGATATTTCAAAGATTTAATTTGTTTTTAAACGTCTCGAAAAATTACAGAAATCCTGATACGCAAAATTGACTTTTGCACTCGTCGGAATTATTATGTCACAAACAGAGAAAATATTTACAACGTAAAGTATTACACTCGAACAAGTGCCGCATCATGCTTCGATATCTATGTTTACGCTCTCCTTTTTTTCGTAGCTTGTCGCACACGTGTTAAAGAGCGATCAAGGTGGTTATCAAGCGAGAGAATTTAATATCATGAAATTTACTTCGTAGGCGGAATATCAAGTTCGTTTATCTTATTCAATTAATCTCTATGAATCGTATTCTTTATGCGCATCGCACGAAATCTCACTTGAGTATCTTTTTCCAATGCATATATATATATATATTAATGACGATATCGTTTTAATTGACGTTATCTAATAAGTATACGAGAGAGCGACAGTAAATTAGAACTCTTGAATAAAACAACATTTTGTTTATATTTTTTGCCTTTGTTTTGCATGTTGCATCATTTTATCAATTGATATTTTTTTTTAACAAAAATATCAATTTTAATTTATTATTAATATAATTTTCTGGACCGGTTAAACTCTTTCAATAATATCTTAAATTTAAAGTTATAGTGTGTTTTCTGTTTTCAAGCCTGAAATAATATTTTAATCTGTCGAGCAACTTCTACAGTTTTTGTAACAAACTGTAAAACGAGATATATGTTATAATATATAACATGTAATTGCGTTTCATTTTTACCATCTAGACCGCTATACGTTATCCTTCAATTATTGTTTCATTTTTCAGTTTTTGTAATAAAGTGCGGCGCTACCGCAAGCGTGTAAACCCCGATGTTTAACAATCGCAAAAAACTGGAAGGGACTTGCGATTTGCATAATGGCCTCGCATTAAAATCACGGTCGTCATGGCGTGCAAGTCTTATAAATATCTTCCAGGCGAAAAGGTCAAACGGGCCGCGCGCGCTCGCGTTCGTACGAACGAGAACGACTTCGCCGGACTTAATGAACAATAGGATTCAGACAGAAGTGAAAAGTGAAGGTATTCGGTCGGTCTCGCACACTCGGTTTTCCCGAGATCATTATGCATCCGGGTTAAATCGGGCTTACATCATAATTGCGCGCGACGGCTTATTACGGATCGTCATATAGTTCACATTTCGCGATTACTTTTAAGATCCATATTCATGAGACGTTCTTCCACACGCTGAAAACGATCGTTTTATTACTCAATCTCAACTCTGGATCTTTTATCCGATTATATCGATCGACGAGCTCTGGCGAGAAAATAGTCGAGAGAGAATCTTTCTTCGAAAATAGAAAAATTAATGAACATATTAATTGATGGGTATGTGCGTTAAGTCAAATATCTATTCTTAAGAACGCCCATTGGATACACAAACTCCGTGTCACGTACACACGAGATAAACGTTATCATGTTGGCCTACCTACACTCTACGTGTTTAAATCACATGTCACTTAAATATAAACACCTAAGTGTCGTATTTTAACATCTTTATTGATTTACATTAAATGTTTTATATATGTAATAAATTGTTAAATATAATTGTTAGTTCAAAGAACTTTGTACCAAAAGTTGAAGAAGAGAAAAAAAGAAGAGATATGATTTTGAGATTAACAGTCATAAATAATATTCAGTCATAGAAATTCTCTTGTGTGCGTGCTCAAGTACTTAATATCCTTGAAGTGCTGGGTACTTGAGTCTTCCACACACATGTGCCATTTAATTCTCTCTTATATATACACGCGTATCTATTTCCCAGGTATATTCTTACTTCTTTGCTGTCGGCGATACACGCGAGATTATTTCTACATTAGCAGAAATGTGTAAAATGAGAAAAAGAAATCAAATGACTGGAAGTCTAATTACATGAATCTATATCACGTGCATCGGCTAATTAATAAACATTACTGACTAATTGCAAAGCGCACGTAGAGGCGAGCATCGATTCGGCGAAACTTTCTACGCGAGCGTGAACGTGAATGTATTTCAAACCAGCAGTTGCCTCTCGAGGAATTGACAACGACGATAAAGTATGTACATACGTGGTGTGTCGCGCATAGTAGTCGCTCTTTATTGAAGAGTCTCCCAATCCTCTATAAAATTAATTAGTTCTACGTAGCGAAAGATGCTTGCGCAGACACGCGCGCCTCGGTATTACCGAGGCAATTAATTTGCAATAATAATCGTTTTTCATTCCTTATCAAATACATGGATCCACTCTTTTCTGCAACAAGATGCAGGAAACTTCACATGTTGAGGATATGAGAAACATTTTCTGTTTTTTAAATAAAAGCGAAAGAGAAAACGCGCTCATTACAAGAAATATGGAAGAAACGATCTTACCCGCAACAGACATTTTTTAAATCGAAGAACACGATAATTAATTAACAACTTATCTACGAAAGATTATTTGAGAATAGTCTGTAGTATATCTATAAAGCGCAGGATTACAAGCTTGCAAGAAGTATCGACAATGCCACGAAAGAAACGAGCGTTTCGCACAGAGCAAACAATAAAAGCGAAGAACGGAGGGAACGAAGCACGATAAAAAGAAAGTGGAAAATAAGATGGGTAAGCGCTCTCTGAAAGTGGAACGGACCGTGTGCGCCAGTGTGGGAGATAAGCGCGGATGAAGAATGCACCGGCTCTCCGACCGGCGCGGCATGATTTGTATCTCTCTCTTTCTCTCTCTCTTTTTCTCTCC